CTCAATTGCCATGATCTCCTGTTCATTAACATATGCCCAGAGCTACTTATGTCCTCATTTGCCTTATGTGAGCAGGCTCCATTAACTCTTAAGTTTAAGTTTTCACTACCCAAAGAAGTTTTTCATTGATTCATGACTGCAACTCTAATTACACAAATCCAATAGTACCTCCACAGGCTTATTAGGAATTCCCTGGATCTTTGTGCTTTGTAGAGGGCTAGGAAGAGAGATGTGCCAGTTAGCACACATATGACATATCCTGAGAGCACAGAATTAAATCCTTCAGTGTATATTTGTCATAAGAACTTGCCAATGCATTAACGCTTTGTGAGCACAGGCTCCAGCAAATTTTCTTTGCATAGTGCAGTTAAGTACAATATCCAAAATCACAACAACCTTTCCAAAGTGCTATTTCTCTCTGCACTGTGAACTGACACTTTGGGGCTTGTGGAAAGGTTTCACTTTTTACCTTTTCTCCTCAACTTCAACCACATAATTTTCTCTTAATATTCTGTCCCTGGAAACTACCATTCCCTGTCTATAAATTTCTTGTGTAGAGTCATGTGCTTCTTAAGACTGGATTTTTTAGAGCTGAAAAGCTATGTCTTCTGACTACTTGTACTATTAGCCGGATAGATTAGCTACCTCTGCTCAGATTTCAAAATAAACATAACGACAGTTGGAAGCATTAGACTTTTATTAACCTGTCTTGCTAAGAAACTTATTTAGAGTTATCAGATCATTATAAATACAATATTTTAGAAGGATAATTACAAGAAATACACACTACTTTCTACAGATGCTAAAAACATGACACTGATCCATAAAGGCAACACAATTTCCTTTGATCTGTTCCTTCATAACAGTTTTAAAAACATTTTCTTCTAACATAGAAAGTAAGTGTAAAATAGAAGCTAAAAATATTTTTTAAACTTTTTTTATCTCATGGAAAAAAAGAAACCTTATGAATAGTGACATGAAACACAGTACTTTTGTATCTAAGTAATTTCTTTTGAAATTCACTTGTATGCCAAATATCTGCTCTCTCAACGATGATCTCAAATTCTGCCTTCTATGTTCCTTGTTAATACTTTTCACACCATCACTTACAAAATTTTATATGAAATCTATAAAAGCATGTGCAAAGTCACTCCTGTGTGCATTGACTATTACATGCTAACAACACACAATGCTGAAACTATGCAAGTAGTAAGCATCAGAAAAAAAAAACATTAGTTTGTTTGCAAAACATACCGATATAAATACACAAAAGAGAGCCTTTCAAAATGGGACAAGAACTAGGAATAAATTGGAAATGTATCTGTTTGAATCATTTAACAACTTTCTATGTATACAGAAAACAATTACTTATCTGAATGATTGATTTAAGGCAACTTCAAAGCAGTACATATTAAATTCCCTTATTCCTGCTATTGTCAGATTTTTGTGACACAGGCATCTTTCCCAAGGCTTGCATGCTTCAGTGTGGTAGATTGGAACTACAGTCATTGTATCTCATAGAAAGGAGAATTTCTGTGCAGAGCAAAATAATCCTCCTCAATGCCTAACCTTCAATACTGAGAGTTAAAAGATACCTGTGAACTTCAGGAGGTTCCCTCTGGATCTTAGAGCTTGCCTCCACAACCTCTTTGGCTACTTTTCCACTGTATTAAAACATGAATTAAAAATTCAAGTCAATACTAAGAAACCTTAATTACATACATGAACAATTAAGTTATTTTCAACAGAAAAACACAACTTTTTTTTTTCTGATATCAAAACAGCTGTAGTAGGTAATATAGGCCAACAGTACATATGTAAACATACAGTGCATATGTAACTTTCCAGATTAAAAATCCTGTTACTCTTTATCTGCAAAATCACTTTGGAAAAAGCCACTTCTTGGGGGGGAACATTAGAAGTGAGTACACTGTCCCACTAAAGAATCTCTATTCCAGAGTTACGTAAATAAAATGGTAACTCAACCTCTATAGTAACCACAGAAACTCATTTTATAGCAATTCTACCAGAAGTGGAACCCTTTTCTGTGAGAACTACTGTTTGATAGATAGTTGCGAGAAGTCACCAATTCATTTATATAAACATTAGAAATACTTTCCAATCCTGACTTGAATTAGGTTTGAACTAAATCCTCAACAAGAAACCCTCACTTTACCATGAATAATTATTGAAGCTTTCTCTTATTTTCTAAAATGCTTAACAGAAAAAAGAAAGCAAACTCTTACCTGTATCGAAATCTACTTCCCTTGAAAAATATTTTGCTGCTGGACATGGTTTTGATCTGACTGGATTTTGCATACCTTGAAGAAAAAGAACATAGCGTGTCACATTTGCAGTATAGCAGGAACCTGATATACAAAAATGAAAAAGATCAACTTTGATATTTTTATTTCACAAGGTAATATTCAGTAACTGGCCTTTCCAAGTTTATATATTTGTACATATACAAATCTTTATATTAAGATGGCACAAAACAACGTAGACAGTATAGAATGTGCATAAACCAAAGAAAAGCAAGAAAAAAATGTTTCATATCTAGGGACTTCAATTCATAGGATGAAGAAAAGACTGCAACAGCCCAACAGCCCTTAGAAAAACTTCTTAATACCAACCTTTTCAGGAAAGTGTGGCTATTTCTGTATTCCCATATATAAAACAAATATGGAACAAATAAACAGTAATGTTTGTCTCCGAGAACACCTGTATTTCCCATCTGTCCATACAGTCAAGTTATAAGCAGACTACCTCATATTCTATTCCTCTATAAATTTTAGAAGTTTGTCTATTAGAATCCAAGAGTGAGAAAATTGATGTAAAACCAGTTTGCCATTTCAAAATTGCAGATCATCAAGGAAATGGCCTATCTGCTGGTCTGCGCAATGTTTGTAGGTCATACTCTGATTGCTTTGACAAAAGGTTGCTGCATATGTTGTGATTACGTAGAGGAATAGAACATGATGTAGTAGCTATTTGAAAATAATCACAGCAGTCAACCCTGGCCCTGGATTGAGTCATGAATAAAACTCCACTTTCCACAATCTTAGCTTAAATTTCAAGTCCCAGGCTCTTCTAGGAGAGGAAAAACTCATGTATAATTAAGGTAAAATGTCATTATCAGGAATACATGTAAAACCTGGTTATGCTTGTTCTCATCAGAATACCTGGTTGGTAACATATAGTACATAAATAGACAATTGAGCCATAAGTTTTATAACGCTCTTTAGTAATGAGGATCCACAATGTATAGTTTGGTATCTCTGACTGTACAACACCTCTGATGCTTTTAAACTGCTTCCTATCTTTTATTCACAGCTATCTCTGTTTCATGTTGGTTTTCATTCCTTTTGCATGTTTGTTTTCACACTCTGCATACTAACCATTATTATTTCCCCAACAATCAGGCAGCTTTCTGGCCACAAAATACCACTGCCACTCCTCACTTGACTAACACTTCCCTCTTGTAAGACCCACTGAAATATACACAGGCAAGATAATTTTAAGCAAACATGTTGAAGAAATAACCCCATAGCAGTGCTGTTCAGCCATCTGGAAAGCAGAAGCGAGAAAAACATACATCTGTGATTGAAAACCAAACGCTAAATACTACAACCATTCAACTACAAAAGCAAAGAGATTATATTCCTTTGAGCCCTTCTCGTGAACCAGTACTCAAAGCAAAGATGTCTCTCCTTCATGTATCGATAAGGATACATGGAGGAACTGTTCTTCTCCATTTCCCACATTTAGTTCTAGTAACTTAAAACTGTTCAACAAAACGACATGCACTATTTTCCTACTTTGACATACTTTCAATAGAAAATATTTCCTAGAGATATTTTTATAACTGAATCTTAAGAGTAGATGTTTACATAAAGAAGAAGCAACAGCTGTATTGTAGCAGCTTGTATTTCCTGTTTCTGATTCTGTATTTTAATTGAGTAAATTGCATTGAATATATTATTGCATCAGAGTTAAAATAATGAATCTCCTCCAAAATAAAACAGGTCATTAACATCCACAATAGGAAACACATTCTTCCTATCCAGTTAAAAGCTACCTTTGTAGCAGCTACTGGTGTCGCTGTGTTGCAGGAGGAACACAATAATTTTCTCAAATATGCAAAATGATGATAGGAAAGACTAAGCAGCAAGAATAAAAGCTATGTTCCAAAGGGGAAGTGTTAGTAAACAAAGAGAAAGACCTAACAAAGTCACTTTTGGAAAAAGAAATATTTAAAAAAAAAAAAAAAGCCTAAGGGCTTTTAATGAGGAATAATTTTCAGATTCTATTTTCAGAATCTTTCAGAAATTTTGGAGAACAAGGAAGATTCTTTTTTTTTTGTCATGGGCTACATATTATTAAGGCTACATATTTTGTAAACTAGATAGCTTTCAGCTTTCAAAATTGTTCTAAGAATATTTATTTTTTTATTATTTCTTAATTTTATTGTACAGAATCTTGAATTCAACTCTCCTTGGATTTTACTGAGAGCGCTTTACCTGTCAGAAGAGCCCAGAGAATTTTGCATATTACACAATCTCTTCAGTTTTCAAGGCACTTAACAGCAGGGCTAAGATTAACAGCTATGTTCCCAGATAGAAGCTATTGCACCCTGTCTATCTGACTTCATACTACAGGGCTGCAGAAACAGGGTGCTGGAAAAAGTTCACTTCCAACTCCTTCCGCATCTGTGTAGTACTGGCTTGAAATGAAGTCATATTCTCCCCTAATATGTGTATATTCTGTTCACATTTTGAATCCTGCTAATGAAACTGAGAACATTTCATATAGAACTTCCATCTACTCACATACACATTACAGGCATTAGTATACACAATTGAGGTAAGTCTACTTACTTATAGAAAGCCTGGTTCTCCACCCCACATTTCCAAAGATGTTTGCAAGCTGCTGGTGTAGAGGTATGGAAAGACAGCACAGTCTTTTTCTAAATGCAAGGAAAAGAAGGGAAATAAATTATACCCTGAAGACCAAGTTTCTCTGTAGAGCCTTAACCCTTGGTTCACTCACAGAAGTACAACCCATATATACTTGATGTGAACATGAGGAAGAAATTCTGACCAGATATTCCAACTGCCCATGCAATGGCCCCAGAAATGAAAAGGGATATTTTGAGGGCCTAGAGAAGAGCATATAGAGTACCAATCACCTGCAAGCCAAAATGACAGGAACAAACTTTCTACATTTACCCCTTCCTGTTGCACAGTTGCTCTGCTGCTTACCATCCACATTCCCCCTATTCACTACCTCCTGCAGTCAAATCCTCCCTGGTACCACACTGGCATCTTGAACCTTATTTTCTTCTTCTGTTTTCTGTTCATCACCCAGATTGTGTCCTAAAGCTATATCATCCTGTCAGAGGTGAAGAACTCATTACAGTATCAAAATCATTCAATATCATGTATCAAAATCAACTCATTATAGATCAAAATCTCTAGATTTCAATACTAACAAGCCAATAACAGGATCCCTGACTACCTACATCATACTACAGTTCAGTTAGCTAAGCAAGATTTGAGGAGGTAATCCTAATTAGCTAAATCAAAATATCTCACTCTAATCCAGGAATCAAAGCCCATTTGAATTTTCAGTCATATAGAGATGTTGCTCATGCTTTAGCTTAGGCATAGCTTTAATGCTTTAAAAAAATTCTGTCATTAAAAATTGACTAGTAAAACAAATACATCAACAGACAATGCAGTCCTGGATGAAGGTAAAGGGACAAACATTTGACCTCTTTGAAAATTAGACATTCTCTTGAAATCAGTAATATTCACATTCACTTGTATTCTACATTTTACCTATAATATGAAATACAATTATTGCTTGCTTCAAAGCTTAATATCAAAACTAAAGATGACAGTATTTTATTTTAATTGGTTCTAAATCAAATACACAGTTTCCACCACAACAGCATCAAATCCAACCTCTTTCTGAGCTCCGAACACATAAAAAGTCTTCCCTTCAAATTTCAATTTATAGACATCACACCTGAAAAGAGAAAAAATCATTTAAGTATTGGAAAGATAGACAGAGCTATAGGTAAGAGCAGTTATTTGTATGCAAATTCTGCTGATTCCCATACCAAGTAAGTTATAAAACAACAAAGAGTTTCATCAAAGTATTGTAACCTTGACCATAAAAGCATGTACTGCTCTAAATTCTTTTAGAGTACATCAGCCCAGAGTGTTTGTTTTACATCCCTATGCATCTTTGAAGAATTAAAACCGGCTGGTGGAAAAGGACTGAAGCTTATGCTTACATTTTGTAATACAGCCTAGAATTCCTTTTAGTTCTTAAAACCTTAGGATGTTTTAGAAGTGAGGGAAGACTCTTAGCTTACAGATGATGCATAAAAAGGTATTTGACTTTGTAGATGCCAGCACTTTCACCAGCAATTTCTTTTCCATATGCTTATTTGTCTATGTCATACATTATTTTGGTGAAAGAGTAATTAGAGATTACATCATGAGAAAAAATAAAGATTGACAGCACTAATTACTGAATTGTCCATCACTAGGTTACACATCTATGTCAAAATTTCATTTAACAAAGCTTCAAAGCACAATCAAAGAATGAAATAGTGCTACACAATATTAAGGCAATATGTTGCCTCTGTTTAAGTAGTAACAGAATTTTTGTGATTACCACAGTTGAAACGGAGACTCAGGTGTCTCATAAACTTAAGATTTTAGATAGCAGATGGTTAAAACGGAAAAGATTCTGGAGGTAAGGAGAAATGTTCTATTCAGGATTTCTACCAAATTGTATTATTCAAAACCATACTGATTTTGGACAGAGATTACAGAGCTTCAGTACACTTTACAGTCTTACACAGAGATTACTTATTTTCCGAATCCAAAATTATCTGAGAAAATATAAAAACATATTTTGAAACAATAATAGGACAAGTTTTCAAAGCAAACCAGGAACCTAATAACATTTTGTTTGGTTTAACTGAAGTAACAAAACAAATTTATATCAAGTGTTGACTTTAAAATTATAACGATTTACGCTGCAGCACCTCAGATAAATAGAACCATTTTTTTAACCCAAACTAAAACATACAGGCACACCCATCTTCATTTTTTTTTCTTGTGACACTTGAAGAGAATATTTTTTCAGTGTGTCTATCATAATTAACATGTTTTTAGTGCTTACTGAAGTCTATCTGTTCTCAAAATATGTTGAGATTCTGAGGGAAAAGATCAGTAAAACCTGAAGAAAATAAAATCTCAAAGATGAATTAGGATTTTTACTGATTGTTGCAAATTTCAGACAATATCAGTAAGAGCTATCCTAACTACCAGTTCTTCAGAAAATAAGGTCCCAGATATTAAACAAAGAGTGTATTATGTCCAGATAAATCTGATCAGATTGACCTTCCAAAAGCCTGTCTAACACTGAAACAGTTTAATGGTATTTCATCACTATTTCATTTTCTTGTTTACATGACAATGTATGCAAATGAATACTCAGAAATTTCCGAAAGGACAAAGCATCCTTGGGCGAAAACATGAAAAACCAGACAGAGTAAGCCTAAACTCCCAAAGTATGTCAATGAACACTTGGCAAGCCATATTCACTCTTCCCTTGAGCACAGGATGACATTATGGTCACACTACTGTTATGCCAAAAGCATAAATCACCCCAAGTACAGTTACCTACCAAGACTACCTGAGCTTAACCCTAGGGAAATTGTCAGACAAATCCGGGATAACTAAACCACTGTATTTGAGAGGAACATCTCCAGCACTCTCCACAGGGAGATGAATAGCATAGGGAGGGTGATGCTGAGATTTCAGGATAGTCAGTTCTTGAGGAAGTTTCTATGCATAGGCCAGGAAAAACATACCTTTATACAAAAAAAATCTCATAGTGTATATCCTGCCCACCTGCTCTCCTACAGCAGGCTGGAAGCACTGAAACACAACCACAACTTAAGTTCAAGGAATCAACCACTCTTGCCACCTTTTTACCCATAGGGCTAATGGGATATACCCTGATGCCTGAACATGCCTATGCTCGCTCTGCATCACATGGCTCAGGGCGCAGACACGGTTTCCATAACACCTGCAGGAATTCAGTTTTATATCTTCCTTTAGAGGGACAGGTAAGTCAGGAGAAAAAAAAATAAACACCAGAGAAACAAGGGATGACTGTTTAAGTGTTTTCTTCTTAGAAAGAATAAATTTTTTAAAAAAAATTAAAAAGAGTCTAAAAAGAAAAATCAAAGGCATTCTGTTCTTCTGTTGACCTCCTCTGCTTACCAAATAAGATCTTGTTTCCTTTTCTAATTGGACAAAATTAATTGAATTGAGGAAATGATAACTTTTATCAGAGCCAAATAAGGATGTAGGTGGATACTTATAAACTTTTCCAGACCTCTCTGCCCATACGCCTCTCTGGTGATTTATAGAAAATAAAAAGGGATGCTCAGCCAGAGTAGAGCTCTTATTTAATTTCAGGGTTGTGCATTGTATGAACTAGCTCAATTTCTGGAATAATTCTGCCTGGAAGAAGAATAAGACTAAATTGTTATTATTATACTTCTCATTTAAGATGCTTTAAAACTGAAATGTGATGGGACAGAAAAAAGAATATTCACTTATTTCACTTTAAATAAATACAGGTGAAGATACTACGAAGAAAGGAAAAAAGACTCTTACACATATTATTCTACTCTTACTTTATATGCTTACCATTTTAACAAATGAGTTCTTTTATTTCCCTGGAAAACTACAAATCCTGCAGCTGTGAATCCTAAAAATGTGGTCATCCCCGCTGAGTCCTTCAAAGAGAAAAAAAAGAAGAATGTAATTTTTTCCTTCCATATTGGGGTACTTCTTACTGATAGTGCAAATTCCTATTTCATTACAGACTACCTGCATTTTATTTTCATTATAGAAATAAATTTTCCTTGCTAATTACATATTTCTGAAGAGTAAATGTTGCTCTTGGCAGCATAAACCTCATTCATTTTTAGCCACTTAAGAGTAACAACATCTTATGCTTTGCTTTTATTTACTTGCAGCAGATGTCACATAGGGAGTCCATAGGGATATTTATTATTTTGGTGAAAACATACTTCTCTGTATTGTCCCATACTTGAAAGTAATGGCTAAACATAATCCCGGGGTTCATGTCTACTTCACTAGTGTTTAGGATTTTACACGTTGTTCCTTTGTGACACTTACAATAATCATGTCAGAAGTGTGACTGAAGGATAGTATAAGTAAAAACATGATGATATTTGCCTTAAATTAGAAAAGACCATTTTTTTCCTTTCAATTCCACAATAAAAGGTTTGATTCAGGTTATTTTTGTTGTTATTGTTTTGGTTTTTGTTGTTGTTGGTGTTTTGTTTTTTTTTAACAGATTCAGGTGAATTTTACACTAGCTGGCTTTCCTGTCCACCCCAAGCTCCAGGTTGTCACTATGCTAAACTAATCATCTGCTTTATTGTTCAATGTGATCTATCAAGAATATATGGGCATTTACGCTGCTTAGGTAGCAGCCACAGAATTGCACAGAAGGTATAAGGAGCCAGGAAAACATCTTGTTTTGCAGTCCACTTCCAAAAATCTGGACTATTTTTCTCAAGCTGTCAGCATGGCCCACAAAGCCCTGCATGTCTCCACTTGATTAGCCTCCTTGCATGGACAAAGAGGATATGATGCCAAGTCAATTTGGATTTTGTCAAGTGTCATCATACGTCTCCTAGATGCACTTGGATAATCTGCAGTATGCAGATTATGGAAATAAAATTTACAAAGTCATTGACTACAGTGAGCTCTGAACTAAGCCACATATCTCATAGCAGGAGCACCATTTCTAGTAACATGCATGTGAAATTAGCCTCTAGATTAGAGCAGCTAAGCAGACAACATTATGCACTTCTGTTGTTCCACCAAATAGGATGGCACATAAGCCAGAAAAGTCAGTTAAAATGTGAAGCAGACAATATTAAATTATTGCAACTAAAGGCAATTAAAACGCAGGTGTACTGAACAACCAGAAATGATAACTAAGTTCACCTTCTTACAGAGAATTATAAAATAGTTAAGTGGTAGAATACCTAAATGCCCAGTTCTCCTCTTGGTACAATTAATTTGCTGTTCTTGCAACGATTTGCATATTTTGCTCGTGTTTGAAACAAAAACCTGGCAAGGCCTTTCTGGTTTTTGGACAGCAGTAATTAACCAGACCCTGAAAATTTTGTCAAACATGAAGCATTTCATACCTAGAGTATTTACTGAAACATTTGCAGTAAATGAAAATAAATGACTACTTATAATCAAAACTTTTGCTTGAACACCCGCTTACACTCTTCTATGATGTTCTACATTCTCTAGTGTCACTTTTTTTAAAACTGATATATGAATTTAAACATGCCAATGTTCTGCCCAAATGAAGTGAAATCTGTAGTTACAGGAAGGCCTTCAAAAAATTATTCCATATTTGTTCTTGATATCTTTAAATGCCCTTTCCCCTCACTCCCCACAAAATATATCAATATCAATTAACTTGATGGATTTTTATTATATGCTACTCAAAAAAAAGTGCTACCTTGCAAGGATGAGGATCAACACCGTAAGTTTCCAAAGAATGTGCTTTCAGGAGCAAGTTAAATTCAGCAATAGCTGGGCTCTGACCTCTAAAATTACAAAAGAAACAATAGTTTGACCACAAGAAGAAGGCAGGAAAAAAGGGGTTTTTTGATTGCAGAATTTAGATTCCTAGGAAGAAAGGGAAAAATCTACTGATATATGAACAATTTCAAGGCTGTTCTATTTATAGTATTAAGACTGGAAAGTTTTCACATGATTTCTGCTGCTGAATTGTCCAATGCCTGATCTTTTCAGATAAGTTCTGGTATTTTTGCTTGCTTCTAGAATACCACATACTATGCAATTAGCCAGTTATCCAATATTCTTCAAGTATTTGTTATCTTTTGATGTACGTGCAGGTTAGCTGAATACAAATTAAACCCTTCCATTCTTTTCCCACAAACCCTTGCTCCCAAACTCATTTAAAAGGATTGTCTAGATTAACAAACATTCCTTCCAGCTCAGGATATAAACAAGGCAATCATATTACACTCTCTACCAAGAATCATGCCTAATTATAGAAGTGCCTGTTACCATCATGATAGGTTAGAATCTGTCAGCATTTCCATTATATGTCCCTATTTTTAGGATGTCTATAATCAACCATGAACATATACTGAAGCCTGAAACACGGCACTCAAGCCTCAAGTTCTGAAGGAAAGTTTTATTACTTCACTTTAGATTCTCTAATTCTTGTTTTTTTATAGAAAGCACTCACAGAAACTTGGAATGTCAGTTGATAAATGAAATTTACTGCTTGCATGACTATGGTATGTGATTCTGACAGAAATACCACCTTGAGACAACGAGTGGTACTTAGGGCATTTAGAAAGCCAGGTCTCAAAGGCTTCTCATAAAAGTCACCCACAAAAAGAGACATAGACAAACAAGAGGAACACAGGAACAGTCATACTAAGTCAAACCCCTGTGTATCATGGTCCAGTTTAACTCAGAAACAGGAATTCTGTGTAGAATGAAATTTACTAAACAAAAAGGTGCCCACAGCAAATCTTATCACTCAACAAAACCCAACATTTTATTTCGATTACCAATTTGACATTAGGTACTCCTTTGATTGGCTTTGTCAAAAAGCCTTTAAAGTTCCTATTTGCAAGAGCCTTACACATAAACATGCAGTATTTCCTTATCTGTGAAAATATTTCCACTAATATTTCCTCTGTGTTTTTCACAATGGAAAAACAAAGCACTGTTATGCAGTGCATCTTTGCTATACGTTAATTCAGATCTCTCAGGAAAATTCAGGTCAAAATATACAGTAGCTCCTACCTATTGAGCATGTGTTCATCATTAAATTTAAGATGTTTTATACTGGACATCCTTACACCCTGTGAGTTTGGTCCATCAACTTTGGTCTTGATTCTATCACTAGTCTTTTTGCTTTGTGAACTTGAGCCAAAAGAAAGGAATACAGACCTCATGAGGAGCAGCTGAAGGAACTAGGAGGCTCGGGGAAGACTTTATCACTTTCTACAACTACCTGAGAGGAGGCTACAGTGAGGCAGAGGTCAATCTCTTCTCCAGAATAACCAGCGAAAATAGAACCAGAGGAAATGGCATCAAGTTGTGCCAGGGAGGTTCAGGCTAGATATGAGGAAAAATTTCTACACGGGGCTTACAGTTGGACTCGATCTCAGAAGGTTTTTTCCAGCCATAATGATTCTACAATTCTGTGTATTCCCTCTCCAGTTCTGTTTACTCCATTCTGTTTACTCCATTACTCTACAACCCTTTTAGTACCCAGACAGCATGTCCTACTGCCCTGCTCAATATGACCAATAATATTCTTTAATATTACGGAGAAAAGTTTCTGTATACTAGACAAATAATAAAATATAGTGATTAGTGAAATTAGAACTCCACAGCTATTCACTGTGAATTAATCATTAATCCTAGAAATCAATCAATCTAAATATTCCTAAAATTATAATGAAAAAGTATTTTAACAAAAGCCTGAAAAATCTGCAACATTTTCTTTTTCTTCCATTAGGCTCAATACAAGTATACCCTAAACGATGTAGAAACTCTGTTTATTCCCCAAAGGACTTTCAACTCTGAAGCTTTTCAAGGGCCAGAAAGCTCAGTGGGGAATATTTTCCAGGGCATCACAGAAATTATCTGCTTATTTTTCTGGCTCCTCACACTGATTCACATTAGAAGTTTTTTTCCCCTTCACTCCATTTGACATATATATCTCTTACTGAAGTAAGTCAAAGTGAAGGATGAGGTAGCACAGAATTATTTAGTCTCAATTCCTTTAAAAGAATAGAGACGCTTATACAGTATTAGCAAAGCAAAATTTAATTCACTGTAGCTGGCTCCCTGAATGACCTTGATCAAGTGATTTAATTTACTTTGCCTTACTGATTTATGAAGTATTTTAGACCTGCTAATAAAAAATCTGATTACTGTCCATCTTTTGCTTCATCTGTATGCCTCACAAACCTGCTGCAGAACACACTAGCAATACAGTTGCCTAGCATGCTCCTTACAGGAGTCACTTTTCAGAATAGGAAGATAGGAAAAAACCTACCAACCTCAACATCTCAGAAAAAGGAGACTCAAACCCCTACCTCCAGCTCCCAAAGCTGGTATTCTCCATTAAACTATCTTCTGACCTCTCTACACCTAAACTGCCCGAACTGCCCCACATGACAGACCCCGCACTAACTGCAACACCACAAACAGTGTTAAAAACAGTCCCCACCCTGCCACCATAAACATCCCAGCCCCCCATGAGTAAAACATGGCTACCCCACTGAAATCTACCCGAACCAAAGCATCCTCCCCACAATCTACCGTACCCACCCATCATCCTCCCAACCCTGCAAAATCTCATACCACCCCACCCACAAGAATTACCACCACAAACCCTACCCCATACCCCAAAACTCGCCAATCCCCCCTAGCTTCAACATACGGATCTGCAGCCAGAGATACACAGTACACAAATACCACTAACATCCCCCCTAAGTACACCAAAAACAGGGCTAACGAAATGAAAAAAACCCCTAGACTCCGCAACCAACCACACCCCACCACAGATCCCACCACTAGACCCATCGCCCCATACTGAGGTGATGGGTTTGATGCCACTGCCAAGGCGCCTGAAACAAAGCAAATCCCTAAGAAAGATACAAAATATGTCATAGTTTTCGCCCAGCTCTTGTCTTTCAAAGTGTTCAAATGCAATTAATTCAATTAAATCAGTAAGCAAGTATGCTTATAATCATCTGGCCTTTAGAAGCACGATGAAACATCTGCATTCAAACTGGTAAAAAGCACAAGCCATAAAGCTGTAAATAACATAAATTCAATCTTCATCAACTGCCCTTTGCCTTGCAGCTGTGGACATCCTTCACTGGAATTTTAGGAGAGACAGCAGTCTCCTCTTATGAGCAGCAGAGAGTCTAGAAGCTATATTATGGTGCTTAAGGCCTTAAGTGATTGTTTAGTTTTTTCTCCAAGCTTAGAAGATTTTGGCAGACAATAAGGCTTTTTTAATACAACCACTCTGGTCATATTTTCAGTTATCAGCAAAGATAAAAGTGCTAAAGAGGACTAATTGGTAGTGAATCACAAATGTACTAATAATAAATTATATTTTTCAAAGATAATCTCAAAGAAAAGCACTGAATGAAGATACTGGTAACTGCAAAGGTGTTTCATTAGCCCCTTGCATAAGTATGTCAGAACAGCAAAGCACATCTCCTATGCAATGGCATTTCTTCTTTTAGCATGGATCTGGCCATTGACATCAAGAGAGAGAAAAGGCTTTAAAATAGTTTGCATATGAAAAGAAGGACTATTAGGTGGTTTATGAATTACCTGGTTGATTACCAGGTGTGCAGCTGAATTGAAGAAATGTTGCTGGGACACACAAAAACTAATAATAATTAAAAAAAAAAACAGAACATCCAAATAGCAATTGGAACTTGTATTACAAAACTGTGCTTTTGTTTTTGTTTTTTTTCTCAGAGGGAATTCTAGGATGATAAAAATGTAAGTAATTCCTTTAAACCAAACAGCCTCTCTTACGTAATCTACTAAATGCTTAATGGTTTAATTTTACATCATTCTAACCGTAATAGCATGTGCCACTTACTTCTAACACAGCATTTCAAGTTACTTGTCTCAGCCTTATCCCTGAAACCACACAGTACCTCCACAATCTACGCTGAGAAACTTAGATATTTATATTCATAGGGCAGATGCCATTTTGATTCCTTTATCATTTATTTAAAATCTATTGCCATTACATGGAGACATTTATTGAACTCTGTGTTTGTTCATAGCATATTAAATTGATCCCTGATAGTTCAGATAGACCTCACCCTTAAAGTCCCTGCTCCAAGAAAAGCGGGGAGTGTGACAGGTCCATTCAGCTAATGAATAAGTCCCTGCCTCCTGGAAACTTGCAAAGACAGACAAATTCAGCAATATTTATGCTATATAGCAGAACCTGAATCCAAACCTCACCATCAGATTGCTAATCACTAGTTTGAAAAATAAAACAACTATATTGGCAGAGCACGATTATGATCACTTTCCAGAAAGAAAGAAACAAACAAACAAACCAGAAAAAAAAAGAAAGGCTTTTTGAGAACACAGAAGCTAAAGAATGGTCAAACAAAACTTATCATTTCATGATAAGTATAGTTATACTTTTCAATTCAAGCAAATTTTCTCTGGTGCTCAATAAAATATACTACTAGGAATTCCTATTAAAAGAAAAATTACCTGTATTAAGGTAAGATTAAGTAAAAAGAATGAAATATCTTGTATGCGAGTTCATCAGTCAATGCATCCTTTTCAGAGACATTATTTGACCAGATGTTTTTCACTTTTTCATTGAAAATTCTTTGGAAAAGTATGGTTGCTTCCGATTGCAATTTTCTAATATCAAATATCATTTTTGAGCCTTTTTATTCATGTAAGCTGGAAGATCTGCTGTGGTACTAGCGTGACTCATTCCACCAACATAAGACTGAAATTTAACTACATGTGCTTACATACAGTGGAAGGCTGA